TGTGCGCGTGTGTGCGCGTGTGTGCGCTTGCGCTTTGGAGAAGAAAGGACCTCTGCTTTGAATCCTTGCTGGTCTGCCGGAATCAACTTTCTTGAGGAAGCTGTGAATCTCAAGCTTTTATTTCATCTACGTGAAGGAAAGTCTGCTCGTCTATGCTATTCATCATCAAGGCTTGCTCACTTGAGGCTGCTTAGGCAAAAAGGGATTTATTTACCTGCTTTTTACTTTTATGGGACTGTTTGCTTTGAATTAAGCAAGTTTTAACATGCAGCTTAATTTTTGTATACAACCCTTTTGAGCAGTGAGTAAAGCTTCAGTTGGAAAGTTATTCAATTGCTTCTTGAGTTGTTTGTCATTGCACATAACCAGCAACGGAAAGAACCGAGAGATGTACCAGCCCCAAGGGCGGTTGTCACACATATATAGCAGAGAATGCTGAGCAGTGTTAATAGCTCATCACATGACAAAAGAGTAATCACATTTGCTGGTATCAGTTCATGACTTGGAGATAAGAAAATGGTCCTGGCTTAGGTGAATCCTAGTACAAAGATTGTACTGTGATACCATCCTTGCCAAACCAATTTCCCATCCAGGGCTTATTGAAACCTTGCTGAATCAGCTCAAAGGCCTCTGTAGTCAAGACCTTCTTTCACTAAGGTGGCCCACTAAAAGCCTCAGAGAAGCCCAAAACTGGCCTAAGATGAAAATGTTCAGTGATATGTCATTCTAACTCAGTAAAATGTTAATGTAATCCAACAGGGGTAGAGTCACCCTCTGAAAATTAGAATAGTATCAGAGTATCACACAGCAGTGTTCCATTCCACCATTCCTCCAAACCATTTTGAAGCCATTGTCACATCTGCAGATTCTGGAAAAGCAGAGAACTTTCCTGCCAGTTGACTGCAGAGCATGAAAAAACAAAAAACGAAAAACAAAACAAAACACAAACATGATTTCTTCAGTGCCTGATACTGCAGCACCTAGAGCAGCAAACCTCTGTGAAAAAAAAGAAAAAAGAAATGGTATCCCACTATCCATGTTTCCCAAATGCATTATGTGCATTTGTCTTGCAATCCGCATTAAACAAACAAACCTATAATAGGGAAGCTGAGGTAAATTATTCTCTACATAGACAAACACATAGATGATTGATTGATTGATTGATTGATAGATGCAGTTACAGATCACACTCCCAATCTGTATGAGGGATTTAGGGTATTTTCAAGCTAACATTTATCTACTCCTAATTCTTATTTGCATTCAAATACAAAAACACTGGATGCAAAGAGCAGAGAATTGTGGCAGAAAACTTGTGAGAAATTCAGATCTAGATGGAAAGCACGCTCCTGGCTGGTATTTTTTGACTGCTTTTTGTTCAAAGTAAAACAAGCAGTTTAAACATCCCAATAATAGCACTTAATGTTTATTTGCAAGTGCTAAATATAGTCAGAAGGCCTAAGTCTCATGGGATGGAGCTGTATCTTGATTAGTCTTGTCATTAGCATCATTGTATTGTTACTTCCT